GACCTTCCAGCATCGCCTTAACCTAAGCAAAATGGATTTTATCGAAATAAATCTTTTGGACGCTGAGACACAAAAAATTTATAAAATAAAATTGTCTCAAGCTGATGCTCTCAAAGCACAAACCGGTAAGTTATAAATGTATACCAAAATATCTTCCTTTCTTTCAAAGTTAAAATTTCTTATTTATTTTTCTATAAAACTAAATAACTGACAGTTTGAATGTTGCGCTATCGCCGTTCACAGAGCTCGCATTCGCTAGTGTCTTATTAGCTCCCTGAACGGAGTTGGTAGCATTTGCGTTCACAGCGTGATAGCGTGCTCCCCGAACGCACCCAAAGACAGCAGTCTCCAAAATTTCTCGCGTCCGTTTGACATCAACCGGCTCGTTGTCAGGGAAACGCGCTTCGCAGCTTCTCGCAATCGGATCACTTTGACTCGCTCGAGATCGAACGGCGCTGGCATAGCAATATATATTCATTTTAATTAATATATTTTCCTTTTATGATGAATCATGCAACGTTTCCATTGTAAACAAAGTACAGATTAAAAATATTAATGAAAATACATCTTTATTCACACGCACGCACGCACGCACGCAATATCTTTATTTTTGAAAGATTTGTCGACTTCTCGAAAAAGATGGATTAATTCCCATGTGATTTCCACGTAATGAGTGTTTATTTTAATAAATTTTCAATAGTTTTAATGCAAACGTCACAAGTTATCACTGACACAGATCAAATAATTAGATAATTCTTTTTTTTTTACAAACCGCGGTGTCACTTCAATATTTCACACTCAATTCACATACAAATTATGCACTTGAAGAAATTACGAGAAATCTTCTAATGTATTTACTTAATATCCGTACTATTACGTACTTTACAATCACTGACGATTAATTATCCGTCCACTGAAAAATCACACGAAGAAAGAAACACACGGCGATTTATTAACACGCGACCCGTTTACTCGACGATAGCAAGCAGTCGACTGACTTTAAGGGGTTACACCACTTTGACCGCCTAAAAATCAATCAGTAACTTTGGGAATTTTTTTTAGGAAAACAATAAAAGTAACAAAAAATTCGTTTTAAGGTTTTAATAATACAAGTTTTTAGAAGTAAAAATATTTTTTTATTTATTTTTTTAACAAAATGGCGACGCTGAAGCCAATTTACTAAAACGTCGTTTTGTCAAATCGGCGTTGCGGGGATTTACCATTCGATTGAACCTGGAGCAAAAACCAAATTTTTAAAAACTATAATATGCACTACAGAAGTACATACGGATA